CTCCCTAGTGTTAGTCCCGTGCCATCGCTGGGTCCGCGTTCTAGTTGAACGTCACCCTTCGGTCCGGTGTCACTGACTTTTGCGACTTCTGATCGCAGGGTTCTCCTCCAGCGCCCTGTCAAAGCGGGTCCAACGTTGGTATTGTAACCATTTTTGCAAGGCGTGGTTTGTAAGTATCTCGGCAGGGATCGAACTTGTGGCACAAACTACAGGCATGAGACTACACTCTCAATCACCGGCTACCCCCGCCTTGAAATCTGTTCTTAAATGCCGTCATGAAGTCTTGGCAGTATCGTTTTATCACTAGTCACTTTTTGAGACCCGCACCTACAATCGACGTCTCATAACATTCAGTGGCAGCTTAAACGATTGTCTGGGGAACCGATGAGGCTGAAAAAGACGCCAGGAGGTGATCACACCTGCAAGTGATCAATTGCTACAACACGAAGAGAAGCCTTTACAGCATTTCCTTGAAAAATGACGCAATCGGAAAGGGGGCGTTCATAACCGCCTATTCCCCTAGGGACCCACATGCACTTGCCCCCTTCCCCACATTTCACTTGAATTTTAGCATCACAACATCAGCCAAGTGAGAGGCGATTAATATTCCGCTGGCAGTATTGCCTAGTTGCCTATAATCCGGATGCGACATATTATCCGATTATTCAAACTATTCGCAGTACCAGCCAGCAAACACATGCGTTCACCGAAAACACTCAACTATAGCCGGTTAGAGAGAAAGAGACGAACTCCAATTGTTCCCAGGTATTTTTCTCTGCGCTACGTAAGCAAGCAAGAAAAGGAACCCGGCTGGCTGCAGAAAAAGGGACCCTGGACCTTGGAAGATCAACTGAACGAAATCATCATGGAATGCGAAATGCACGTGGGTGGTCGCGAAGGAGTTCAGTTTCATTCATTCATCCATTCATTAGACGTGCAATAGCACATGAAACAACAAAAAAAAAAACAAACAAAAGTAAAGGAACAATAAATACCAACACAAGTAAACCGATCATAGAGCATCTCTGCATACTCCAATTACAGACAAAACCACCAAACATTTCAAATGAAACCACCAACTCCCCTTTTAAAAGTCGCATATTTCAAGGGAAAACATTCGAGTCTTGACCTGTACTGACAAGCCAATGTGGCACTATGTCTCATACCTGCTCCTCTTGTATTACATGAAAGAGCTGTTCAACGCCCAGTTTCACTTAGCCATTCAGTACTTTGTAAGCCATCAGTAAGGTATATCAGTTTGAGTGGGAAATGGAAGGGTAAGGCATTGTTGACATTCGCTTTAGAATGCGCCACACATCGGAATTTCACTTAAAGTCGTTTGACTGGCCCATCTGCGCCATATTTTTGCTGGAATTGGGCAGTTCCCAAATCGAGCCAGGCGCTTGACAATTCAATTGAAATTGAAAGTGTGATCTGAAGGCATGTGGCGCCCACGTGTAACCGGGAAGAGAAACGAATGGCTCATGGGCTGGAAGGCAAAATCCGTACGAGCTTTTGAGAAGCAATAGGTTCTAATCGATAAATGTCCAAGAGAGCAGTTTGACCATTTCGATCCGTCCTCTGCACGAATATTGCAATCATTTTGCATAATAACATTTTTATCGGGCATGTTTAAGAGGAGTTGGATCGATGCCTATACGACAAAATGTGGCGCTACGCTGTAGAAAAGTGGATCACGATTTTGTCTGAACTTCGGAAAATGGGGTCCTAAAGTGAAGAGTTGATTTATTGAACCTCTTTTGCACACTCCTCGGGCCCTTAGTGTTTTTTTTGCGAAACCGCATCCGCTCTTTCGCAGAAATATAATTTCGCCACTGTAAAAAAAACCGCTCTATGATAAGCAGATGGGTGAAGATCCATAGGAGTGGAATTAGCATCGCATCACGGAGAACTTTAGGAAGGTTCGATAAGGTGGCAGGCTGGTTGTGGAATGGGGTATGGAGGAAGGGGGGAGGGGTGTATGATGCAAAAGTTCGACATAGCGCGATGATGTGCCCAGAAGTTTCCCTTCTCCCTTTTCTGGTTAAGGAGCGATGTTCCGCTATAACGTTCGAATATCGAATATGTATAAATTTGCCTGAATTTAAGCTGAAGCTTCCTTCAAAACCGCATTGAGATCTTGGAAGATGTGAAATAATTTGCGGAACAATTGAACTGTTTTAGAATTTTAGAAATTTTTTTGTTTATTCATAGTACTGTCTTGAACTAGAACCTTTGGGTCGGAACTCATAAAGTTGCTCAGTGTTTTTTTCACAAAAATATAAAGAATTTCGGTTGGAGAAAAATTGAATGTGGGTTTCGAGATTTTGCTTATCTGCCCCAGAAGATTTCTGCTAAATAGCAAAGTATGTCAACAATACTTTTCAACAGCTTCGCGAGTGGATCGTGTGCTGAGAGGACGTGTCCTCCACTATTGCTTACGGGTTAGTAGATCACTCGTACAACCCATCGGCTATGTTGTCCTAATTAATTTATAAAAAATAAGGCTCATGGTGGGGAATGCCAAAAACTGAAGTAGTAGCCGCAAGAGGATACTAGTGAACGATCTGAATAGCTGATCGGATATAAGGGGAACTGGTCAAGAGAATCGCACCTAGACGAACATTATGGAAGTTTTTTGGAATTCAGTCGCGCTTAAACCAAACGGTGGTAGAATAGAACTGGTTTAACTAGGTAAATTAGGAGAGCTCATTTGAACATCATTCTTCATCAAGTGCGCTTCCATTGACAGAGAATTGCTCTAGTGGGCGCCACTAAGGTCTCCAGTGGTCCTTACATGGCTTTGGAGTTGCCCAGTAAGTTCTGTGTGCTCGATGGGCACGACGAACTTCACATGATTCGTTCAGAGCTTCCAGAATGAAATCTTCCCGTCGGGTTGAGCTGGTGCAGATGTTCGTTCCAAGCATCATTGAGTCCTTGCAAGTAATTGTTCTGGTCAGCGATCATCAAAATCGCATGACGTTCCCGTCCTGATTCTCAAAACATTGCAGAACGCTGTGTAACTGACCCCTGACCGTCGACGGAGTGTGGAGCTCGATCCACTCCATCATTCGCGTGTAACGGAGAACGTTGCTCTTTCTATGGCGCGTTCAACGAAGTTGACCACATGTTCATCCTGGCCGCGAGCAGAGGCCTCTGAGGAGTAGGCTGAATAGGGAGGGCCGAGAAATCGAATAGTGGGCAGCGAGCCGGATACTCTTTTTCACTATTTCTACTCCCTCTACACCTAACAAACCACTTAGTCCCGCCTGCTCAGTTCTGGTGTTCTCTATAAATATATCCGGAGCATTTGGAGGTACTCGTTCCGTTGAACGGAAATAGAACATTGGGAACCAATCCCTTTCCTCCACAAGCGTCACTCGTTGAGGTTAAAAGGAGCAGCATGCAGGTACGGAAAAACCTATGGGAATTTCATCATTACTCCCACTGTTAGCATTTCATAACCTCGCCCAGCGAGAGGTTCTTGCGGGTTCAAGCATAATGTCTAACTTGGCAATTCTAGCACTTCTTAAGAGGGCAAAGACAAACGAATAAACAATCGGCGAAATCTTGGTCCCGATGGAGCTTGCTGGTTTTGCGTCTCCGAGTTTCAAGTGTTCTTAAAAATTGGCAGTCTCTGAGCACCCTGAAACGTGCAATCGTCTCTGGTTTTTTACCCTGCTGACGCTCTTACGCGGGTGTTTCTTAAAGTATTCCCAGAACTCTCAGGAAAAACTTATAGGATTCGTTGTACAGAAACACTGAGACTTCGTTCGAGGTTCAAGGCAATGTTGTCGTACCCAAGGTTCAGCTCAAAAAGTTGAAGTTCCGGACAGTAATATCCAGAAGTGCGCCTCAAGCAGCGCAACATAGTAGTGCTGACATGCGGGTTGGTGCGCACTCACGCCACATAATAGCACTACCAGGCTGAACACGTTTGGTCCCGGTGCAAATGCAGCGCAAGTGACCGTCGCTTGCGACAAGGGCACGTCGAGCGATGGGCAACCCAGGGGGAGAGAGTTATTTATCGAAAAAATCGCCTCCTGTTATTGATCCGCCTTGAGTTTTTCCTGTTTCAGAGTGTGCTAATTCCTTTCCCCACCGTTGAGCAGTTTATTTGGGGAAAAAGGTGATTTTTGAAAAACTAGGCAGTTGTTGGAGGCTACGGAAAGAGGTCGGGTAGAAGGGAGACAATCACTCTTTAAGGGGAAATTAGAGAGCGAGGGTGGGGAGGGAAGGGTGAGCCCACATTTCTAAGAAAATCTCTAGCAGCAGGACGTACCCTCTTCACCGCCTCGCCCCCTTCCCCAATGGTTGAACTAGGAGGCCCCACGGTCTAGCTTGACTGGAGCCAGGCTTCTCCTCTTTCGAAGCCTTCTGAAGCAAGACCTGGATTCGAATCAGGATCATGAATGTGAGCTTCCGAACACTACCCTGACCACCGCTGTTCAGCTTTCCCTTCATGAATTTGCTGCAGCCTCCCGACGGTATGGCCCACTCGCCCTGGCCTTGTCTATGCACTCTATTGACAGCTCTTCTCATCTTATTTCGAGGGCGTTCTATGGCCTGCTCCCCTGGCTCATTTTGTTTTCCTGGGAGAGACCTCACAACGCTGGTTGTTTTGCCCAGTGTTGTGTAAAGTGGAAACCACAGCTCCATTGGAAGTCGAGGAATGACCACAACTCTTGTTCCCTCGCGTAACTCGCATCGCTATCGATCTTCATATGACTCGGGCTTTTTCAGAAAGATGAATCGTTCGTTTTTACCGAGTAAATAAAAAAAAATTGCAAATGTCAACGTATGCGAAGCAAAACAAAATAATTTATTAGAATGCATAAATCTGACTAAATTAGACTAGCAAATTTGACAGCTACTCTAGTGCGCAATTACATCGACGACGATTCACCGAGATACTAGACCTTCACTGGAGGCGGAAGCTTTGAGCTTTCCTGATTCAGGCAGATGATGATGATAACGGATATGATCAGGATGGTAATGATTTAAGCCTTCTTCTCCAGTTCAATGAGGTGTTTCACTCCGTCGTACATCTGTTTGACGGCTTCGAATTCCGTCAGACCAAGGCGAGCTTTGTTCGATATGTCATAAACGCCACCCTCCGAATCGGAATGCTCTCCATGAATACCGCGGATCTGCAATGGATTTTTGTACTCTGAAATCTGGATTAAAATGCTGGATGTTAGAGGATGTTAGAGGAGAGCAGGAGTTTACCTGGAGCTTAAGGTCATCACAGATCTTCTTGAAATCGGGCTTAGCAGAGATCTTCGGCAAGCGAATGTGTACGGAGGCGCGAACAGTGGTACCTAGATTAGATGGGCAGAATGTGAGCCAACCAAGACGATCGTCACGTGAGAATGGAGCCTGAGCCTGGATGATCTTCACTCCCTTAATCAAGCGCTCCAATACCTGGAAAGAAGGTGCTATAAATTAGGACTTTGAAGGTCCTATGAAGAAATCCGTTCAATCGAAACCCACTTGTCCAACGTTTCCACCGTTTTGCATGGAGATGATACGAAGGTGGTCCTCTTCATTGGCCCAGACAAGGAAGGTCTTGTTCTTGTTGTGGAAAATTCCACGTCCCTTGGGCCAGTATCGGCAAGCGTTGGCGGCCTGGAGGAATCTGAAATGCCCTCCTTTCAGTAGTAAAAAAAATTCAATTGTATCGAAATATTCGAATACAAAACAGTAAGAAAATAAGCGAGAGAACGTTCTGCCCACCTGTCACCCTCCTTGAAGAGGAAGTGATCCTTGATGAGTTGGTTCTGGACTTCCTTGGTCATACCATCAAGAGGATAGTAGGTTCCCTGTAGCTCTGGGTCAGAGATGTTCTCGAAGATTTTCTTCACCTTTCCTGAAACTCGTTAATCAAGACGGCTTTGACGACTAATGATGCAAGCTGCGTACCTTCCATCTCGAGATAGTTGGCCTCGGTAAGGCAAGGATTGAATGGATATCCCTCGAGTGAGCGGCCACATCTACAAAACAGAACATGGAAACTGACGCAAAAATCAAGCAGTCCAGCGGCTTATACCATTCGAATACCAACCTGACTCGGGTAGAGTTGATGAATTTGCCTTCGGGATCTAGGTCAACGAGTTGAGCGGTCTTTCCCTCTCCAAGATCAACAGCTGGCTGCTTCTGGCTGGGAGAGAAACCGTTGTGGTAGTCCTGGATCAGGGGATCAAAAAGTGGCTTGAACAGAGTGTAAGCCTCAGCGTCGGGGGCATACACTCCGACACCAGAGTCCAAGTTGGCGACGCCTGAAAAAAAAATCTCGTTGAAGGTACTGGCTCGACAGCCTAGAAAGCTCCAAGGTTAAGCAAAGGGCCACGTGCAGCCAACCTTGCAAAAAACAAATCCAATGAAACCCGAGTTGCACTCCCATGGCACAAAAACATAACTGCATCCAGATGTCTTTTCCCATGGAGAGAAACCGCAATGAGCTCCTCCAGGTTGTTCAAAAGAACATCAATCGAATGCTGGGGGAGAAAACCTGCCCTTCTCGGAGCTGAGTGATAGTTTCAGCATTTTCAGAGCTGAAAACGAGCCTGTCAGCTCGATCAGACACCCCAGGGACCGTCGGGGTCGCTGGGCGCGTGTAACGAATCAGGCCGAAAGTACGGCCAAAAGTCAACAAAACAGCTACGCAAAGCGTATCTCACGTAGACACAACGGAGCAACGCTTTCAAAAAACCGAATGATCAACTTACCAGACTGAATAACGTCCCACAATGTAGCTCCCAACTTGGTTTTCTTGTCTTTCAACTGGTCAACTACTTCCTTAGTCAGGTATTTCTTCAGCAAAGAGTGGCATTCTTTGGCATTCTAAACATGAGACTTCACTTGAAACGCCAGCTGTCAATGTCATAGAGGAAACTAGTAATGTTTTTTGGCTTCTGCCCTTTGCGCTGTATAATGAGCTCATTCTCACTGGATTAGAAGGCTCTTACTCGTACTTTTCCTCACGCTGGCCATGGTGGCTAAGTTACCCAGAACCCAGCACTAATTGCAAGTAAAAGATTCAGAAGGTGCTGCTGGAGGGCTAGTGCATCCTTCGGAGAGGGTAGCCTACGAGGAAGTCAGTATGAGGGTGACGCAGCGCTAAGTTTTGGAATTGCTCCGCTCCGATAGAAAAAGTGCTAGTGAAGGCCGTTCCAAGCGATCGATCAACTCGTTGTGTCCAAAGAACAACGTCCGAAGAAATGCACGCTTTGGGTGCAGAATTGGGCCATAGGGAGAGAACGCTGAACAAGCGCACTTCCGGGGCTTTTTACGTTTACCCACCCACTTGTTAGTGCTATTGGAAAGGGCACATTTTGCACTCTCTCCAAAGGGGGGGGGGTACGCCCACGTGCAAGAATTGTTTGGCTGCTTCACATGAAGGTCAGACAGGCAGGCTCTTCCTGGTAAACGAGATGTCTCTGACATAATGAGGTCTAATTATAAACTAGGTGTCGAAACTTGTTAAGACCTTGTTAAGAGGTAAGTCTAGGGGTCAAAGAGTAAACAATTAAGTTCACGGGTCAACAAGTAAACAAACTGAATCAACGACATGACAAGTACCACTGACTGACCTGAAGTGTCTGATAGCCGTCCTCAATCTTCTTGATGATCTCAGGAGGAACGGACATGGTTGCGTCGCCGGTGCCAGCACAATGAAGTCCTCCGATGGCGTATTGCTCTCGCCACATAAGCCCCGCCCAAACCGAGATCGGTGATTCGTTGGATCTAGAACGGCAAATGGGCGGTTACATTGACGCTGAGGGTTTCGGCCAGCCAGTTCAAACCCTACGCCGCCCCGTTGGCCCGTGATTGTACACAGCCCGGTTGCGATGACGATGAGTTCGAGTAAAGATCATGAATATAAGATGATATGACGTAGACTCGTGCAATTCCTCGGAAACTCTCATTGATTGTCACACAGAGAGGTGAGGAGATATTCCCCTGATCGCTTATCTTTCCTATGCGTATTTGCATTTATGATCTTTGATCCGGGACCAGAAAGGACTACTGGACAGCCCAAAGTTCTCCTGCTATTGATTATGAATTGCAAGAGAACGTTGAGCAAATAATAAACACGTAGTCCGAGAAGATAACAAAGAAATGCACTTGTCTATAATGCCTGTGCTAACACTATTGTGTCAAAGAGCTACTATGACCAATTGATTGATGATGTGATTTATTGGCACAGCTATTGAATTGCCCATTTTAACTTTTGTGATTGAAAGTAGATTTGCTATGGGTATGCTCCATGACAGGCAATGGGAATGGGAAGCATACCGGTTTGGGATTTTGACTATTGAAAGCCGCTTTTTTCGTTTCTCTCAACTGCTCGGTTCATATGGTCCATATGACTTAACTCTCATGAAAGGTTCTAGAAGTGTTTTTCGGTAAAATGGTGAGTTTCCAAGCTGAACGAGGTCAATGGAAGTGCCTTAGGAATCCCGTCCAGAAGGGTCGGGTTTTCCATTTATGGGCGTGGTGCAGCTACTGCCATACGTTTTTAGCATGCCCAACTATCCTTAGTTGGGAAACATGATTCTTTCTGCTGCACTGCTTCCGACTGTTCCTAGTAAGAAAGAAAATCGATGCGATGATGTGAAACAGCCATTTGTGGGAAACAATTTGCGACACCTATTCAAAATATTGTCCTGAGGGCTATACTTGGGTATCCGAATTCTGAGGAACGGACTATAAGGAATGATGAAACTCTTGGCGTTGATCGGCTCTGTTTAAGGTGCGCCGTGCATTTCACTGCTATCCAGGACCCGAAGTATTCTTTATGCTTCTTTACCTAGATCTTTGATGCTAAGGACTTGTAAACGACAGTGTTTCAAGTGCAGGTTTGGCGGGGATGGGGCATTTCCTCCCATTACCATGGACGTGTTCAGTGCTTTACAAAAACTAACATGTATTCGAGCTGGTCTTCGCACCTTGTTAGGGATGTTTCGCACCCAAATTGAGTGGCAGCCTTGACAAGTATTTCACAGCTCGCCATTTAATGGCTCAACGCATTGAAGAGAAGCAATGGAAGTGCTACCCCTACCCCAAAGCCGAACTGCGCCGTATTTTTCCTAGAATCCGATCTGGTACCACTCCGCCATATCCGAAGGGAAGGGTGACCTGGTTGGCCTGGGCGGCAGTCGGATTTGGTCCCTGGACTGCGTGAGCAGTAGGCAATAGGAATTAAGTGATTCTTCATCGCTATCGTGACACTGCTGGTATGCAATAGATTGCTTGATAGGATAGGGCCATTAAATGGTAACATTACAGTCCTCTTTAATCCCAATCGATCAACACTCACCTTCTATTGTATCTCATTCTCGGAATCCTTCGAATAAACATAATTAGCTCCACCCACCGAGGTTGTTAGCGAGGCGGGCGGTACCGATAAATCAGTGATTATGAGGAAACTAATTGCCGCCCGGGGTTGCCCCGGATTGCATTGCATCTCGGGTTCATTTCATGTCTATGGCACATTAAGAAATCGGAGAAGTTGAGTGGTCTGTTGTAATATCCGCGAGCGGTTCCTTGTGGCCGGACAGACACGCTGAGTCGAAAGACTCGGATTTTGGACTCGAAATGTTTGTCTGGAAGCTTGGGTTATTAAAATCTCCCGTTCGTAAGAATGTATCAACTTCACGAAGAATCGTATTGAAATAATCGATAATTGTCCAAAAACGCTCGCTGCACTCTTTGTTTGGTGTTAATGCTACTGAATTATTCAGATTCAGCAACATTTTTTTTGGGCGTGCCTATCTTGTCAGCTAGGCATAGTTCAGCGGGGGTCATATTTGGTCAGTTGGGGGGAGGTGAGTCATACTTTCCCAAGAACTTCTCGTGGAGGCAGGAAGCGCCCTATGGTGAGCAGAAGTTGAACGAATATTGTTTATCACTCAGCTGCTATTTTCTATGTTTGAGAAAGAAGAGGGTAGGCATTTATATGCCCAAAAAATCTAGTGGTCCACTGGTATAATTTCGGAAGGGCGATTGTGCCTGCAGAGGGGGCCTTGCAGGTCATTGGAAGGCTCTTCCGCATTTTATGAGGGCGCTTGAGAAGACCATAAAAGTGAAGTCCAATTCCTTTGCATACTTCCGAAAATGCAGAAGGATGGTGGGAAGTTCCAGTTGAGGGACTGAGGTGATGTGGAGGGGGGAGGGGCATCCAAAAACACATTGCGATCACAAATCATGGGCTCTAAGAGCCAATTTTGACTTATTCGATGCCAATTGACATATCATTAAGAGCGAAGAGCGAACAAAATACTCTCCGGGAGTGCCCAAACAGGAAAATGGTGGGGACGGCAGGTTGTACGCGAAGGGAACTGACGCGTCGCTTACAGGTACAAGGCAAATGAGATACCCCGCCCCTTTTGGCACCTCCCCGACCAGATGCGGTGACATCAACTATGTGGCGATCGCGGGGCATTAGTCCTTCATGGGCAACTTCTGAGATTGCGTACCGAACCACCTGGGCAACAAATGGGATCATAGTCAACGAGTTACCCTGAATATGATATGATAAGCATCCCAATTGATAATAACCCGCTCAGGTCGAATCGTATGTCGAATCTTCTCGTTCGCTGTGCTTGAAAAACAATGCAAAACGCAGCCATAAATGAAGAGTTTTCTTTAGAAAATTATCTAAATTGAAAGACTATTCGATCAATCGTTGCCTGCTGTCCTACGCTAAAACAAATGGTCCTAAGAAGATGCGAAATTCGTTCTGGCCAGCAACTCTAGCGGCCACATCATCATTGCCCTTTTCATCCGTTTCACCCCTTTAAAGTCCCTAAAGCCATATTAGCTAAAGAGCAAGCTTCATTGACAGTCATCAGCTCAGCAACGGTATTGCTAAAAATGCACACGGCATTCTTGTTGACAGAGAGTGGCGCATGCTATTGCGAGTTTGCCCACAATAACAATTACTATCGAAGGTTCTTGTTACAGCATATAAAATCCGGTCCTACTACCAGCCCTGCACAAGTGTTGCTGCGACTTTTCAACAGGGATGGACGCTTTTTTCATACAACGCATATGATTGGCAGTCATTTATGTCCACCAATAGCAACATGTCTACGCATGCTATTGTTCCTGACTTCTCAACATTGGTCGGTCGGTGATTCGCCAAGTTGAAGATTTCCATCTATTCAGTTTTTGCAAGGCACTTAATCAGACGAATGCTCCAACTGGTGGATAGCTGAAATGTCTGGGTCAAACGGTTGTCTATAGTGCATATCTCATCCTGATTGAGTCGTATCAAGAACGTGGACGAGTAGAAAGCTGCGGCTTCTTTTTTAGTTGGTTGCCGGCCCTGAGCCAGCTGCAAACAATGAAGCAATTGTATTAGGTTGGCGGGAAAGTTCTGTCACATTTTTTCAAACTAGGCTTTCTTTTTATAGAGAGGCGTACAAGATCAAAATTATACAGCAATGTCATTGCGGAATCCCTGCCAGTTTTCGAGCACTTCGTGGATGCCATCGCTTCACAATGGAGGCTGGCACGACGCAAGTTGGACATCATCTCAACTTTGACTTGGGCTCAAGTCGTGGAGGTTTTCTCGGCTGTATAACGGTTGAATACGGGAGGCGACTAGCAGTCAGAAAGAGCAATGTCTGGACTACACCGGTGCAAGGGGAGAGCCATCCAGCTCTATTGCATGAAGTACGGCTCGAACTTTTTTTGACGGGGTGTGCTGCACCAGCACGTTGAAGACGGACTGTGCCGATGGATTTTGCCCTCTGCTTGACGATTCGCTTCAGATCTCGTAGCTGCCTTGCGTGCGCCTTAATAATTCAGCGTACTCCGTAATTGAGCAATTATTATCAGGGAACCAGTTAGCCGCTGAGTGAGTGGAGTCGCATTTGGTGTCTAAATTTTTTGGTTTGCTGATGTTTCACGTGTCAGGCGTGCTGTACACCAGGGCCCTTAGACAGCAATGTTTCGAAAACATATGGGTTGGAGGTAGGCGGAGGTGGTATAGTGACAACTGAAGCGCTCAGCAACCACGGGGTCCTGGGATCGGATCCTGCGTCGCCTCCCACTCAGACCAACCAAGCCTTCTATTCTCCGAGGATGTGTCTTGCTACTAGTTTCGTCTGGGAGGATAATAAGACTGATTGTACATCGGAACCCGCTGGTCATTGTGTAGGCCACATCACATTAAATAAGCCAATGTTACTGTGAATGGAAGTAGAATGCATCCCACAAAAGGATTGATTAACGGCGGAGAATTCATCCTTTTATCCTTTATGGGCAGGATGTGAATGTTGCGCATTGTTTGATGGACGTCGTAGAAGGGAATCGGACCAAACCCTCGCATTGAGAGTCGTACCAAAAGCTTTCCTCTGAAGGCTCAACTGGGTGTTCACGGTCAATACGCGCAGCACGGAAAAATATCGTGTTCCCTTAGCGGGCGCTGAAGAGCGCCGTCATAACGCCTAACCAAGGTGCAACAGGTCGACCGAGACACCCCTCGCAACCGCCCGCCCACAAATGGCGGACAGTTGCATCGATGCTGATGCTCTTACTGCTTCATTTATGAAGTACAATTGATACGAAGGTAGCTGCATGGATATATGAATGTATACGTGCAGCAATATCTATCGAAGCGGTTGTTGATGCCAAGGAGAAACTCATCCAAAAACGCTTGTCCTATCCTGTGCAGAGCAAAGGCTTGTTTTCTCAGGTT